TAATACTTGACGATTTATGATCAGACATATCAATATTTTTAATTCACTTCAATCTTACTGCATAAAAACTATGTGAAAGGCTCGGGATAATGTATTCTTAAGATGTTGTGTGCTGACTGTTTCAAATTATAAATACTGCTTTAAATAAAAACCTCGTACCATGGATTCGCCTCTGTGATGATATCAACAACTTATGATGAACCATCTTTTGCCCAATAAATGTGTCTTACATAAATACAAAATATTCCAATACGAATTAATGTTAAATAGATACGAGAAAAGAAAGTAAAACCAAGCTTGAATTTCAGAAATTATGACTAACAGCATTCATAAAACGAACACATAGTTAAGTGATCATTTTTAAGTGATCATTTTTCCACTTAATTTGTAAGACTTTTCGATTCTCAGTCAACACCCACTTAATTTTTAAGACTTTTCGATTCTCACTTGGGCTTTTTATAAATTAAAAAAAAAAGCGCAGCTCAAAATGCTACCCGCCTCCCCCAAAAAAAAAAAAAAAAAAAAAAAGGCATGGGGTTTCTACTAATACAGCGCGCTGGAAGTCACTTTGAGGGTTAAATCATTCTTTTTATCACGCCGCAGTGTAATGCATGTTAATATAGTGAGGAATCCAAAAAGTTATAACGCATACAATGCCATACTCTGAGAAATCAACCGTACGCTGTAAAAAAAAAAAAAAAAAAAAAAAAAAAAAAATTAAAACTCCGGGATGAACAATAATCCTATCTCCCCCTACATCAAAAATTCTCGCCCTACATAAAAAATCCACGCCCCAAACAAAAATTACATGCTGCTAATATTACTATCGTTCATAGCTCCATCAAAAATTATCCAATTTGAATAATTTTGCTTGCAAAAATATATCTTTTAATTTTTTCTACAACATAGTAGAATTTAAAAAGTAGTTATTAACCCCAATCACTAGTTATACGAGAACTTCGTTCAAATCGATATAAATCCTCAAATATTTTTACTCATATCAAACATATACGTTGCAAACATAACGCGCCATTATGTCGTGTGGTTAGGTGGCCTTGGTATTCTGCTATCATAATTTGGCGTACTGACAAAAACATGGTTGGTTTCTTGGTTTAGTGGTATAATTCTCGCTTAGGGTGCGAGAGGTCCCGGGTTCGATTCCCGGAGAAGCCCTTTTTAACACGAATGTGGTGCGTGTAGTGATTTTTTGTTTCCGGTTGTCGAGCCGGTAACACTGTTCATCCAAAGGTGAAATCGCCGGCACGAAGATTTTGGCCAGCAATACCCGCAATGTTATGGATTAATGTCACCACATATATCTGAACTGCAATAAAAAATTAATCAATAAAACTGCTATTAGCAGCGAAATTAATCTACTCTAACACATTAATTTACGGTGAGTCCACAAAAGTCGGTCGAAGTCTACTTCATTTATTTTCTGAGATTCAAAACTGTCTGCTCAAGCCTGAAGGCTCACACTCTGCGTTTAGTAGCTGTAAGATATTACTACATTGATATTTAACACTTTCTTAAGTCATTGAGGATGTCCTTATAGTTACAGAAAACATAGAGGTCGTAAAGTTCAACAGATTCCTCGCCTTTGTTTCTACTTATATGAAGAATATGAAACTGCAAACATGCTATACAGCTATATAACTGCACTAAACGGTGCTAAGTTAACGGATAAGCCTTAAAGATATAAGAATTTTATTCCAAAAATATAACAACGACTGTACATGTAGTATATCTACAACTAGATTAGTATTAAACGATGTCAGGTTTTCGGATCACAATGAACAATAGACTAATCAGTTCAAATCAGTCGGTCACTATGCCACACACCCATTTGATCTGCCCGGACAGCACCCAGCACCGCAGGGGACTGTGTTTTTTTTTTTTTTTTTTTTTTTACAAGGGGGGCTTACTTGCTGCCCTTCACCGTTTCCTATTTACCAAAAAAAATTTAAAATGGAAAGTTATTCAGAAATCAACAAGCAACGCATCATTGATCTTAACGCTAAGATAAGAGAAATGATTCAAGAAACAGCAGAAATCTTGGTCAAAGAAGAAAATGTCACCAAGGCAGAGGCTGAGGCCTCGATTGGCTTTCATTATACGGCAACCTCTTTGATTTTAGTCAAACGTAAAAGTCCATACAATATTTTTACTGAAAGACTGGCTGCCGAAAAGAAAGCCGATTCTTCCTCTGGCGACCAACCTCAAGGTAGCTTTTCTTACTATATCAAATGCTCACTTAAATACTAACCATGATTGTTTACATATTAAAAAGGTAGTTTCCAGAGAGAGGCCTCCCAATTGTACCAGGCACTTGGACCGGAAGACAAGGCTGAACTTGTGAAGAGTGCTCGGATCGACTCCAATTTGAGTGAGGACGAGATGCATTTGCGTCATTCCCGGGCACTCAGGTCCTTCCGAGATCACTTGACCGCTTACAATACCATTTGTGGTTCAAACTTCTTGCTGCTCTCTGTCCGATTGAAGCCCACTACCTCGGAAGATGGCTTCCCAACTCCCGTGTTGACCTTGTTTTCCGTTGGAGGTAAGTTGGGGCTGCCCAAAAAGAGTGTTAAAAGTAATTATTAATTTTTTAATATTATCTATAGCGTACTGTAATGGCCTGAAACAAGATTTGGGCCAACAAATCCAGGACAATGTGATGCAACGTCTGGGAGTTGCCCAAAGGGCCAGTAAAAAGGGTACGTATCACTTTGAACTATTTATGGATATGTTACTTACATGACTATTACAATTAATAGCGAGAGTCCACGACCAGAGCGCCAATCTTTTAAGAAAAGAATACAGGGAAAGACTTTTGCAGATGTACCGTAAGTCATTTACTCACTTTGAATTGCCATAACACTAACTATTACTTAATAGAACAACATCCTGGTACGGAAAATGCAAAAGCCTTTCCCTACAAAAAGCTTTGTGATGGAACTGCTGACTTGTTCATGCGTGGTTGGCCCCGGGGCATCCCTATAAAGCACGCTTCAGAGCAGACAATTAGCAACATGAAGGCTGTCCTGAGGGCCGTAAATGGAAACAAAATTTCATTTATTCTTCCGGAGGAGAGAATGGAAGAACCTCCAAACCCTGATGCCGAGCATTAAAGGTAAATGTTTTTTTGTTTTGTTTTTTTTTGTTTTTTAAAAATAAATTTACTTTTTAAAAATGTCATGTTATTTTGTTTTCGCATCGAATGCCATGAGTCTTTGAAATAAGCACAAAAATGTATGAGTCTTTAAAATAAACACAAAAATGTATACTATTCTCTTTAATTGTGTAAGGCTGGAAGTTAGTTTAAGACTTTATTAATCTTTCGTAAAATAATGCGAAGACAATATGTTTTATTTGATTTAAAATATGTAAGTCAATTTATTATTGAGCATGATAATATCCCATAAAAGCTTTACAGTAAGCTCTAAGTAAACAATTAAATTTGGACATAGGGGTAGTCCAAAACTTTTGACAAACAACCATATGCTCGCGAGAGTAGCTATTGCTAGAATATATAACACTCAGGGGAGACGTCGAATTAAAGAAGACTTCATGCTCAAAGAACAATTCATAATTCCGTACGTAACGGATCACGAGTTCGAATGTCAAAAATTCCCAGTAGCTTGAGTCGCTTTGCCAATGGTTGAGTGATGGGAGAGTCATAATCTGTATGGACTTTTCGAGTTGTAATGCCATTGTTTAAGGTAAGTACGATACAGCGCTAACGAGAACCCTTTGTCCAAAGCCGTGAATTCTTCTCTTGCTGATGTCAAAAGCAATGCACACTTGGGTCTGACTTGTTCTGTTGTACTTTTCTTGTAGTACCTATGGTTAGCTTGTTTCCTTCCACCTAATGAGGGTCTTCCAACATTCGCAGGGGTGGGTGTATTGTGGAACCGAAGTGCGTGCTTGTTTCTGTTAGATGGCGATGAAAATTCCCTTGAACAGACATGGCAACGAGTTCTATCTATGTCGCATCCGGGTTTGGAGTCTCTGAGAATAGCCATTTGGATAATGCGTAGCTATCGATTTGGTTAGTACAATAATAAAGAGGTTAAAAGGTTAGGTTAGAGGTAAAAGGTAAAAGGCGAAAGGAAGAGAAAAAAGTAGTATTTCTTTTATAAACATGTGTACAGATGAACATAAGGGTCAGAATTTTATTTGAGCAAAATGGTGTTGACTAATAGCTATTGCAAAGTACAACATGCAAACAGACCTTCCCCATGTACATGTTCCTCCGTCTGGGAAATTCCAATGTCTCAAACAGAACGAGACATTCTAACCAGAGATCAACGACATGCAGGGAACGTCTATATATCAGCAAACGCAATACACTGTCTAAAGTAAATTATTAAAATTTAGTTATGTTTCTATGAGACGTCAATTTAACAGATTATACTTACTTCATTTAAACGATAGGATCTTGCCGCCTAAACGTGAAACGATAAAGACATTATTGAAGTAAACACGGTACTTTTGATACGTTTGGTTCAAGCACAATAGTAACTTGAATACTATGTTAAAACTACCTGATGCTAGAAAGGTGAGATGCCATGTAAGTTAAAAAGTGTAGGGGAGGAAAAAGTAAACATTCGCAGGGTATAGGGCTGTATCTTTCTAATAGAAAAAAAATTATCTAATTCTATTGGACCGAACAAATGATTCGATTGCGCAATTATTCATCGATTGGATGAAAAAATTTTACTCTTGTATGTCCGATTTTTTTTTGGGATACCCCCCTCACTTTTTCTGAATTTCCTTTTTTTTTTAAAAAAATGGGCGATCTCTAGCTTTATTTTTAGCACACATGATCATTACTGCTTTTCAATATCCAACAAAAACAAAGAATAATAAATGTTTTCAAGTATGAAAGATCTCAGTTTTTTTATAGTTATATTCTAAATATACTATTTAAATGTGGATATGAATTTAGAGGTATATAATATCATTGGGTTGATCATACAACCAATTCAGTGATTTTTTTTTACATTTCCTTGCAAAATTAAATAGGGCCAATCAAATCCAAGGGATCTGCATATCCAGGAAGTGTCTGTATTGACCATTATACGATATTTTTCTTAATAAAAGTAAACAAAAACCATACAGGTCAAAAGAAATTAAGTTTTTATATACATGTGAATTTCAACTGTCTTTTTAACCTTTTGTTTTTGCATCTATTTTGATCATTTTCCGATTTCTTGGTTTTTCGCACTGTAACATTGCAAATTAGTTTTTTACATGCAGAGTAAGTCCCTTCTGATGAAAGTACTCTTTATTTGGTATTTTCTAAAACCTGTAAACATATAGTATATGATATGAGCTTTAAAATAAAAAAAAATATTGTCTATACATGTTTTTATATAAAAAATCCTTAAAAACGAATTATGTATTTTGAAAAATTATGCATAATATGTGGTTATACCTGTTGAAAAAAAAAAAGTATGTTTAATTTTGTATTTTTAAATGCAGTTATACTCTATTTTCTTGTAGCTTTCAGATGGTGCTAATACTTTTAGTGATTGTCTTTCCAGTTGTAGCATGAATGTCAAAAAAGAGCTTCAAAATGACAAATGATCCAAAAAAAAACTTATACGTATACTATACATCGCTCAAGCCATGAAACATTTATATATTGATTTAAGTATAGTATTTAATTAATATTGAATGTAATTCGATGGTTTCTTGTAATATGAATTTAAAATAATTCTGGTTTATAGTGTATTCAAATTCGACATTTATGAAATTAAGATTTTATTAATCCTTGCTGAAAAAAAAGTATGAGCCTAAAAAATGTCGTTTTATTAATCCATACTCGGGTGCCGCTTTTTTTTTTGCCCGAGCTTAAAATTAAATCTCTGGTAAAAGACCAATTTCCCCGGCGGCATTCAACAAATATGCCCCTTATCATGATCGTACACGAGCCTAAAGTTTGCGCTTTTAATGATCCATGAAGGAATTAAGACCTTGATATTAAGCTTGAGCATTTTTTTTATTTATTATATTTATTTTTTATTTTTTTATTGTTCTTCATTATCAACAGCTGCAGTCTCTTCTTCTTCTTCTTCTTCATCGTCTTCTTCTTCATCGTCTTCTTCTTCATCGTCTTCTTCTTCATTATCCTCATTGCCTTCCGCTGCGATATCCAGGGATTCCTCATCCTCATCGGCATCAGCGGTCGGATCAAGGAGTCTGGCAGTGTCAGACTGTAATCCAGAGTCAGTAATGGTAGGAATTGCAACTCTCAGCAACACCAGGTGTCGCTTCGAGTGCGTTTTCCAATTATTGCTCTGGTCCAGCTGTCTTATCAAAAAGGTTTTTACACCCTCCAAGAACCGTTTCTCTTCCGCATCATTTGCCCTCTCCAATTCGGCACCATTGAGAGCCAATGCCTCGGTAAGCCTCTTGATCTCCACCTCAATATTGGAGTTCAGGTTGTGTGCTTCACGCTGTTTTGGTATGATATTTTCTTAAGTTAAATTTCAAATGTATCTGACAATAATGCTTTACTTACCTTAAGAAGTTTGATTTCTTCTCCAGCGTTCCTCACACACAACCATGTTTTCGTTAAAGGGTGGAGATCGATCCCCCAAAACTGGCTGTTACCATCCAGGAAAGTTGCGGCAGTTACACCTTCCTCTATAATAAAGATTTCAGTAGTCTAAACTTCGAATAACAATTTTGTACTTACGGAATTCCTGGTTGTAGATGTCCAGGAGTTTTCGTTGCTTTCCAAGGGCCTTGCCATGTTGATCTGCAAGCTTTGTACCTTATAACGTATTACAATATTTAGAATTTAAGTATAACAACAAACAAAAAATTAGGACTTACCAATATGTCCAGATTTGAACATCAAGCTGGTGGTAAACTTGTAAGCTTGCAGGTTGGCGCGCATAGCATCCTTGAAAAGCAACTTTTTTCGTTGGACGAAATCTTCCCAAGATCCAAGGGAGAGCTGGGCTGTTTCAGCGGACAAGTCGGCATAGGCGTGGGGTACGAAATTAGGTATTGTTTGCCTAATTTCATCAAGGACCTTCTCCTGCTTCTTCTCGATGTCTTTGATTTGTTGCATGAAGAAGGTCTCCCCAGCTACCTTGATACTACCATCACTGGCCGATACCGTTAATACACCATCTAATCTGTCAATGGCCGCATTGCTGGTACCGGTAGAGTTTTCATACATTTTAACTCTGTGATAAAATAGACATGTTAAATTGAGATATTTTTAGTGATCGTTTCATTATTACCTAAATCTGAACAAGATCGACTCCAAAAGATAAAATCTTGTTACAGATCCCAGTGATGGTGGCCAATCACTCCAGATTTTGCTGCACGACTTGCCGCTTCGAGTCAACGCCAGATGCCTCTCCCAAGCCAACGAAATCTCCTCCTGATTGACATCCTTCAACTTGATTAATCCTGCCGCCAGGATCTTCTTGGTATTTTTGTACTTCCCGTACAAGACACTTGCTATAAACCAAAATAACGTCGTTAGTGATATGCACCATTTCCTTTACAAAAACAACATCTTACCCATTCCCCAATTTTTTTTCCATGTTACGATGGCGGATGGCCAACGTAAGAGTCAGCCTTCTGTTGGCCTGAGACATCGGACGTGTAATGGTGACGAATGGTCTGAGTGAAGACCATAAACGTTCCGATGCCTCGCCGTCAGCCCTGCCGTACGATTCAATGTTTTTAGAATTAAAGCTGGACTGACAGCTAATAACATGCGCATAAGCATGAAAAACGGGGAGTGCAAGAGTGCCGTTAGCAGTCAAGTACGGGAAGTGAGTCTATCATAAGAATACATTAGCATTTATGCATCAACAATATTGAAAAGATGTTACGGTCAACGACTTCTCCAAGACACAAATGATGTCGTACATCAAATTAACGGGCGTAACAATGCTGTCCTTGTCCTCTTAAAACAGTTGGTGGAAAACAGATAGTGGATATTTGAATCTTCAAAAAAAAAAAAAAAAAAAATTAGGATTAGTACATAATGTTTTTGGCATGTTTATCACATACCCTTCACCACTATCCATATCCACCATCTTTAGGGTGAGGTCATGGCGCGCGCATGAAACCGTAAAAATTCCTTTTACGGGATACAGCTTTGACTTGTATGAGGCGCCATTACCTGCAGCTCTGAATGTGTTCTCATTCATGAGAGCCTATTAATAAAAATACCATCAGTAACTCTAGTTATTAATTCGCCCTAATATACAATCCTTACGTCTTTAGGAGCTTTTTCCTTCTTATAAAGCTCAACACATTCAGGCTTCAACCATGCGTTCTCCACGGTGTTGACCAAATTAAGTTGATCAAGAGGACTTGCTTTCGACTTACATTTCATACTAAAGCACCCATCCATAGTAATGAAAATGCGATCCATTGGGTGGATGGAGTCCCTCTAAAAACAAAAGATGGTTATGATTTCATTTTATCTATAATTTAATACGGAAACATACACTAGGACAAGCAGGACAGCACATCGCCTGATCTTTCAACAAAGATCGATCGTTCACCATTTCTTCTGTCAACAAAATGACCTTGTTGTACAAGTTGAATACGGTCCGGAAGTTGTTCACTGACAAGGATGTCTACCAAAAATATAGGTTAGATATATGAATATTAATTTTAAAACATTAATTACCAGTGGATTTCCTTGCAAGTTGTTATACAACTTTGTAATACCCTCAGAAGAAGACTTCAAGGTGTTTCGAACTTCATTAAAATAGCCCAACAAACCCAAATGAATGGCATTTTGTGGTCTGTGGGCGAAGCAGGAAACATACCCATCAAAATTAATGCTTCTGCCAAGGGCTTACAGCTGCAGTAACTGACTGATACATCCTTAATGGCTATGTCAAAATTATATTCAGGGTTAGAGTATACTAGTATTTTGTCGAATATTTTGCTCTTTACCATGGAAAAAGTACATTCTGACGGTCTTTGTCAGAAGTACTTTTTTACTACCACATTGGCAATCGATTGCAACTGGAGAAACAATCTCAGTGGATGGCAAGCCACGTTGCTGACCAACAAAAACAAGGTAGTTAACGCACATGTTGTTAAGCACTTTTCCCCACTTGTTGGCTAAAACCTCCAGTTTTCTCTGGTACCTGATCGCCCTTTCCTTTTTGGCTTCAGCAGGACTGACTTTTGCAGGTACAGCCTTAACGATAGGTCCAGACGAACCGATACGGATTCGTCGACGCTTGCGAGGTGCTGGAGCCGGTGTAGGGTCCATGGTGCAATTATGCAAGACGACGGTCGTATTGTTGTCATCGTCTGCTGGGTATTCAGACATAGGGTCGTAACTCGGTGCCTGAGCTTTTTGACGTGGTTGGCGTCTTGGGGGAGGAGAGGGTTGAAATGAAGCGATTTCACTCTCTGAAAGTTCGTAACCGGGATTCAAAAGCATTTGTCGTTTAAATTGTTCCATTTCGCGCCATAAGGCGATTTTCGATTTTCCCATTGTAAAGTTTTTTGTAATAAGGTGAAAAGGAAGTGGCTTTTTTTTTATTTGGACAGAAACTCTCTGGTTGCTCTAGTCAGAGACCAGGAGGGATGATCTCTTCATCATCGGACAAAGAGCTTGACTTCTTTTTCGACACTCTCTGCAAAACAAAAATTACATTAGTTGCTTAACAATAAACGAACTTCCTTATTTGTAATGTACGTACCTTATCTCCCAATGTGTTGTGAGCAACACTAGCCAGCAGTCTTTTAGCTCCCCAGTGATCCAAGCATTGATCCAAACCTATCTTACCTCTTCTGGCCAGCGCTTCCAAAGCAAGGATATACTTCATCTTGAGCTCACGGGAATGCATACCCCATGTCTTTATGCTAAGAACTGGGTCTGACTGGACCTTTGCCTTCAATTGTGTGATGCATGATTTAGCATAATCTCTCAATACACCATACAAGGATTTCAATTCCACGTTCTTCATTTCAATTTCTTCTTGACTTTCCTCAGGTGTATGATATAAATCAGGTCGAACACACAACAAGAACTCCCAGAGTGCCTCTCTGTCACTAATCCTATTAGGTTTACCCTTTTCGGTTACAATACCAGTGTCAGGCTTTTTACCTCCAGGAAAACGAGCGATACTTCTGACAGCCGATTGCTCGGTCATCTGATCGACTGTTATAAAAACGTGTTAGTTGTATGTCAAAGTATACCAATGCCATGTTATGATTACCTCTTCTCGGTGTCATGTCAGTCACGCTCCCTCCAATCAACCGTTCTTCCATGGCGTCAAGACAATCGTTTACCTGGGAGTGGTTGGATCGGATTTCGGTTTGCAAATCAAATACTAGCTTTTGAAGTTCGATGATGGTACGAACCATGTCATTTGTGTTATATGCGGGCATTTTCAAATTATTTTATGATGTAGATTGATAAAAACGGCTTTGTCAGAAAAAACGCGCTATATATATATTCTCCATATTCTTGTACGTCATGGTTTTTACATCATATCCATGATATAATCCATGCCACTATATAAAAAAAATTAGCACTAGTTGCAATACGTAATGACAGCCGTCTGGGATTCAAAATTGGATCTAGTGGTTAATGCAACTGCGTTAAATACTTTATGTTGGGATTAGATTACGGCATCTTTCTTTAACACTTCCCTCGATTTAATTCCATGATTTCATCACGTAACTTTACATGCAGCTATTGCGACAGTCTTTTTGAAAACCATGCTCGAATGGTCGAGCATCAACGAAGAGTAAAATGCCATTTGTTTGCAGTAAGAAGTGGAATGAACAATATCAATACCAATACACAAGATGATGCTGAAGAAGAGATTACTTCCGTCCAAAATCTTGATGAGCAGTATGCGGACGATGATACTGTAATGGAAGAAGCTGCAGGTAATAATAATTAAAATCATAGTAACGAATTTCTAACTTACAATGTATTGCTACAATAACTAGCACGCGATGATGCTTTCATGTTCGAAGATGCGATCAGATACAAGCACTTTGACCACGATTACAACTGGAACATAATCCAAAAGTTTGGCATAGGCTTAATTAAGCTTCTTGACCATAACGGTGTTTCAAGACAGGTCCTGCGTGATGTCGTAAAGCATGTCAATGGAAACCTTCTTTCCTACCTTGATCCTGTTGCTGTCTCAGGTAAATTAAATATTGACTCACAGACTTCCTTTCATACTAATTGCTATTTAGACTTGGGCGGGTTACTTCCTTCTCCAGAGGCTATTCATAGATTACTTGATAAAGGCAGCATTGATTCTGTGAAAATGTATGATGTGTGTCGCGAAGGATGTTTTCTTTTTGATGATAACGTGCAGCAATCACATTGTATCAACCCTGCTTGTGGTGAAGGGCGATACAAAAATCAAAATGAAGCTGAGGAATCAATCCGTGCTGGCGACATTTCACCTCCAAAAGCCTTTCAAACCATGGCTATGTCTTCTGTCGGGGCTTCACTTGCGGAACTACTGGTCGACGACGAAATCCGTGAAGACTTCAAGTACGCAAGCCAATTCAGCGAGTATGATGAAGATGGCGTCTACATTGACATGTTTTCCGGTTCGGTGTACAAAGAATTTCTTCGTCAAAATTTGCTCACACGCAAAGACATCTGCCTTGTTCTTTACGTTGATGGGTTTCCCAACAAATCCAAACCTGGAAGCTCTCAAACGTTGGTCCATTGCATGGTGATGAACATTCCTGCTTCTAAAAGATTTAGAAATTAAATTTACTTGTATATGTTATCTTAATCAAACTTACCTTTTCGTTGTTAGAGCAAACGAGTCGATGATGATTCCACTGGCTATTTTACCTGGCCCAAAAAAGCCCAAGTATTTGATGAGTTTTTTTACGCCAATCATCGAGGAAATCAATTCGTTGTGTGCAAGAGGATTCGTCGTTGAAAAAAACAATGAAATCGTGCACCAAAGTAAAGTATTCTTGCTCGGAATGACTGGTGATATTCCAGGAATTGCTGATTTAATGAATCATCGTGGACACACGAGCAAATATGGCTGCAGAATTTGCAAAATTGCTGGCAGACATCCTGAAGGTTGCCGTTACGGTATGTACTTCTTGGATGCAGGTGACATGAGAACCAAAGACCAATTAGTCAATGGCGATGCGGTAAATTATTCAAAGTGTGCACCAATATTTTTAAGATACTAAACGCAATATGAATTAGCGATTCGATTTGCTTGGTGTTGATCCTGTTATTAGCTCTCTTTCCACCTTCACTGGTACATCTTTTTTTCTTGGTGACGAGATGCATTTGATTGGTAGAGGGCTTGGTACTTTGGTGTATAATCTTTTGGATCCCAAGAAAAACAAAAAGTTCCGTGAATTCATCACTCAAGATGCACAATATACCTTTGGTTTGAACGCACGTGATGACACTATCATCAAAAAAATTGACGAAAAGGTGAAGCAGAGCAGGGTTTACATACCATCAGCTTTTGAGGGAACTTGGGATGGCGGTGTAGGTATCGGAAGAGCTGTCGATTATTTAGACTTTCTCTTGTACATTGTCCCGACCATTGTACTTCCATTGGTCCAGAACAATGAAACCAAATGTGCGTTGATGGAATTGGTGGAGGGATGTTCCATTGCTTTGCAGTGGCGCATTTCTCGTAGGGACATTACAAAAATGAAAGGATAACATGACAATCAGAGACTAGATATTAAAAATTAGACATTAACGCAAACATTTAGATGTTTTAGTAGTTGGCATGCGTTTTTGAATCGAGAGATTGTTGCAAGTCGTATCAATGCGCGAGTGTTCACAGCAAATAAACATTATTTGATGCATCTGCCGTATTTGGTTGAACAGATGGGGCCATTAAAATGCTACTCTTGTCGACCAAAGGAGCGGACAATTAAGAAGTTCACCAACTTGATCAAGTCCACGCATCTTATAGGGGCAAATGCTTCGAACGTCCTTCGTCACCAGGCGAATTATAACAAGATGGCGGTTAGATGTCTGCAGTCTATTCAATTCCCTGAATCTACGGATCGTCCAGACACCTACCGTTCGCATTCCTCTGGTGCCCAAGTTTGGTGTCCGTTTATTCCTCAGTCTTTGCTTGGATCAGATTCGGAAGAAATATGCTTCGGTGTCCCGAGATCGAAGGTGATTGATGCATTGATATCATATTATGATCATAAGGTTGGGGATGAAATCGAGCAATTGACCTCGTCATCCATTGTGATTGCAAGTCGAGCTTGGAACGATGACTTGGTATTTTCTTCGATTATGGACATAACCTTGAAAAACTTAAAGACAAGAGCAAACAACATTGTCCTGTTTAAGGCTCCCAAAAGTACTGGTCACAGGTAAGCAAAAGACATTTGACAAACTTTATTGGTACTTACAGCATAAAATTTAGATCTATTTCCATTTGGTTTGTCGGTGTGGTTCACTGCTACTTTACACACAAGCAAGAAGGTGAAGAAAATTTTTTGGCTATCGTTGAAGTAACGAAGCAGCAGCAATTCGACGCTCACAATGTTGTGACAGTTGCTCGGAATTCCAGGGGTGACAGATACAAGAAGTACGCTGTTATTTCCATTACAGACATTCTCCAAGTGGTTGGTCTTGTACGGTATTCCGATTCCGCTAACATTTTCAAGGTTGTTTGGCCGTACATTAAGTATACTGACAAGGTTAATCATCTTCCTGCTGGTTCTTTAGCTGATTTGTAAGTTGGTCGTATCTTTCTCTGTTTTGCGTAGACAAGTTTTATTGTAATTAAACTCTCTTCAACAATTCATCTAATGGAGTGATTACTATTTTATTCAATCTGATGTGTTAATTGGCAATGTGTTATTTGGCAATGCTTGTAAAAGAAAAAAATTTAAAAATAGGAAAGGAAAAAAAAAAAATTATATTCCGATGGTTGCGTATTTTATCCACCATGTTGCGTCTTTCCGCAACATGTTGCGGAATTCCACTACCGAGTCCGCGGCTGTGATAATGTAGCAGAGTTGATTTAAACTTTCATGTTCACAAATCCAACTGTATTACATTTATGGATTCAGTGATAGTTCGATTTAAGTATA